AAACATGTATATTTTAATATTGGCGGAGCTTGACAGCGTTTTTTGAGTACCTATTGTAGGTCAACATTTTTTATCTAATAAACCAAAGTTTCTCCCTTTGAAATTTGGCACACCTTAATTAGCCACCATATGCTAGAATAACATATAATTTCGTAATAAAAATCTAAAGGTATTTTTTTTTTTTATTTCAAAAATAAAGGTTTTGGTTATATTTAAAAAATATTATAATTTTAGAATATAGTCAAGTCGTATATCAAAAGAAAGAGCATAAACAACCGAAAAAAGATGACACCAGTTTCAGCTTTCTAGGTCAAATATTTCTTGAAAAATAGCCCCAAAAATATTTTAAAAACTTACCGTTTTTCGAAGTTATTTATTTTTCTTTATATTAATGCATTCAACAATTAACCAAAAAATTATTAAAATCCAAGACCCAATGGGTCAGGTCCTGGTTGATTTGCTTTGGAATTACCCTATAATATTATAATTTGGCAATAAGGCACGATGAATAATATAGATTTTTTAAGAAATTAAAAATTTGTCCAAAATGTGGTTTCGTTTATTTTATTTTATGTTGATAAAAAATAATACAATCTGAACTAGAAAATACATGTAAATTACAGTTATACAATTTGAGCAACGATTAGTACAATTAAATGAACAGTTGAATAATTAGTAAAATGGGGGTTGGTCCAACGTCAGGCAGATTGGGGGTACTCCCCTAGTTATATTTAATAAAATTTCATGAGAAGGAGTTAGTCGGGGGTGCGGTCAGATAAATACTAAATTAAAATATAGTAATTATTTTATTTTAATTTTGCCGACGTTTCGACCCACTTTGCAGGTCGTCTTCAGGGAGTAGGATGTAGCACTGCGGGATGCAGTTGAAACACTGGTAATTAATTACCTATTGGAGGCAGTTGAAACAAGTGTTTTAACTGCCTCCCGCAGTGCTACATCCTACGCCCTGAAGACGACCTGCAAAGTGGGTCGAAACGTCGGCAAAATTAAAATAAAATAATTACTATATTTTAATTTAGTATTTATCTGACCGCACCCCCGACTAACTCCTTCTCATATTATATCAACGGTCAACAATCTGTACATCATTATAATAAAATTTCACTTAAAGCAAAGGGTAAAGCAAACCATGAAATAGCCGTTAATTATAATAGATGATAAAATTTCGAAGTTGAACTTGTTTCTGTAACATTTTGGATCGTTTGTATTATAATTATTAGATGATTATAAAAATTCTTTGACACCATAGTATTCAATATCAATCAATTAAGTATTTCGTGATATTGATTAGATATGTAATGATTTCATAAAATTGATGATGAGAAATAGCAGACCTTAAAACCTACAAAAGTGGCAAACCACAGTCTGATTTCACACAGAAACTAGGAAATTGAAGTTTTATACTTTTTTAAAGTCAGAAACGTTTTTTGTTGAATAGAAAGTGATAACTAAAAAATATTTAAATTTAGTGATCAACAATTATTTCAAAGTAAACTAGATGAAATTTCCTTCTATTGTAAGTAGACATTGCTTTTATTCATCTAGAAGAAATTTTTAACAAATAAAATTAAGGTAAGTTTTTTTTTTTTACAATCATGGATTATTTCCACCTACTGGATGGATTACAGATCCTTCATCAAGCTAAGTCGAATATAAAAATTAACAACAATAATATAATAAAAAGCAAAATTTATAAAACAATTTTTAAAATGAATGAAAATTTAACAATTAAATACATTAAATAAACACTATTTATCACGTAATTTATTACAGTCCTCCTATTCTGCTTGTCGGATGAGGAGTAAAAATAAAAATAAAACTTTTGTTCAGATGGGCTTTCCCCACCCCTTTAAAATTACGTTTTGTTTTTGTTAACCGCTACTAATTTAATGAGCAGAGAATCCTCAAAATTGAGTATTATTGGCATTCGAGCTTTATACATTATTTTTCAACAAAATCGATTCTTTTCCCTTTAAATGCACATTGTAAGAGTTTTACCATACTATGTATGTTGGAATGAAAATTTTCCAAACTGAGATATACAGCCTGTCCCAAGTAAGTATTCTTTAATACTTTTTGTTAGTTTCCTTTCGGTCTGCCCGATATAAACGGCAGGCTGAGAGAATCAATCGAGTAAAATCCACTCTTACACATCAGAGTTGGGTATATTTGTCTCCTCATTCCCCATAATTATATTTAAATAAGTGATATATAATATTGTTATATTCACATAAAATTATGGTCAAATATTCTTCTTTATTTAAAAAATATTTATATTTTTTTTCAAATTTAGAATAGAATAGAATAGAAAATAATTTCATTCTGGGACAAAGTCCCGTTAGAATAACAAAAAAGTACAAAATTAAAATATATCTGGCCTAAATAAAAATAAACATGAAAAGTAAAAATAAAGAGAGATAAGTAAAGAAAATATTAGTTAAACATACTATATACAAAATTAAAAAAAACTATATACAAAACACTAGAAACCATGGTACAGTGGTAAAATATAAATATACACTTTTAGAAAAAAAGAAATAAAAAAATACATAACATTCTTCTTAGCAGTAAACTCTGTGTTTCTGTTGAAAAAAAAGAAAAAGAAATCGAATCTGATAGTAAGTATTTAAGTGATGAGTTATATGTAAATACATCATTATGAATAATATGTAATTTTACATAAAAGGTTAGCGGGTATCTGACTGTTTTTGGGACAGGAATTGGAATAGGAGGGTTTTAAATGTAGATAGGGAGGGAGAATGCCGAATTTTGATAGGAAGGGAATTCCAGAAATTAACAGAGCGAGCAATAAAGGAGTTTTGGAACAAGGCAGATCTTTGAGAAGGAATGCAAAGGTCGGAAGATCGAGATCTTGTGGAAAGGGAGTGGAGTGAGGACTTGAATTGGAGAAGGTTGCAGGCGTAAGAAGGACGATGATTGTTGATGATTTGATAGAAGAAAATGTACCTAGGGAATACTGTCTTCGAATGGAGGGGAAGAGCCACTTTAACTCAGTGTAGTGGTGAGAGACATTGGAGTATCTCAGGGCACCAATTACAAATCTTACACAACTGTTCATTAGTCTTTTCAGTCTGTCATGGAGCTCCACCGAGAGTCCATCATACACCACACAGCTGTAGTCAAAGTGGGGGAAGATGAGAGAGGAAACCAGGAGTCTACGCGTATGTTGAGGTAGATGGCGGAGGTGATGGAATAGTTTGAGGGTAGAAATTGTCCGTCGGGAGATGTGAGAAATATGGTGATTCCAGGAGAGGGTTTGATCAAAGAAAAATCCTAAATTTTTGACAGAGGAGTAGAAGGAGATTGGCTGATCATCAAGGTTCAGAATGGGAAAGTCGGTATAGCATCTAAGAAGGGGCTTGGAACCAATCACAATGGCCTGAGTTTTAGCATCATTTAACCTTAATCCGTTTAAGTTTGCCTAGGCACAGATTCGATCTAGGTCTGCTTGGATCTTAGTAAATGATACTAATAGCTCAGGGGGAGAAAAGGATAGATATATTTGAGAATCATTTGCATAAAGGTGGTAGGAACAATGGAGAATTGAGTCATGTAGGTCGTTAATATAGGAACTAAAAAAGAGAGGAGATACACTAGATCCTTGGGCAACTCCAGAGGATAAAGAAAGGTAGGCAGATAGTGGTTGATTAGGTATGGAGACTGCTTGGGTGCGTTGTGAGTTATAGTTATATAGAAAATATAGTTATATTTACAGGTGCAATAAACAATATTGTTATATTCACATAAAAGCATGTATAAATATTTTTAATTAAAAATTAAATATTAATGTTACGACAAATTTACTGGTCTAAATACAAATAGTCGGATTAAACAATCATACAAATAATACTCTATTTCTCAAAGCTTAGAGAGGGACCATTCTTCGTAAAAGACAAGAAATTATAGAATGATCATTTTATCGAACTATAAGAAGCCAAGGAACCATGAGAAAGTCTGGTGTGGTGCACATCACACAACTTTCACTTAACATCCTCTTCAGAAAAAGGGAAAGTGAAAGTAAAAATTTAGACGCTATATTTATTTATATTTCATTGTTGGTATTTTTATTTGCATAAGTACCCTTATATATACAAATTTTATTATTTATATCGCTGTAATGTACACAATTAAATATTACCAACAATAGTATTTTGAAAACCACATATGTATATTTATATAATATTGTCGGAGTCCGTATTATATTAAGCTCATGCAACGTATAGAAGCGTGTTCTAATCTTTCAGGCGAGCTCGGATGTGCTCGTATTCCTTTAGTTCTTCAATTACAACTATTCTTCGCTACGACCTCTTATTTCTCCTTTAGTTAATTATTAAATTCTTTTATATTTAACTATCTTTTATATAAGAGATTAATATGAAAAGGTCAATTTTTCAAATAAAAAAAATGAAAAGTACTTTAAGGGAAGCTAATATTGAAAATTAGTCATTTAACCCCTGTTAGAGAACATCAATCAGAATAAAAACTACATTTTATTTAAAACTGCTTAATTTTTCACTGATATGATGAATTTAATCAAAATTGTTGGAGTTGTTTACGAGAAAATTGTAAAAATGTGTTTAGTCCATTACATAAAGTGCCACTTCCGGTCAGCCGATTTTGATGAAAAAGTTGCAGTAACATCCATATCAGATAAAAACCTTAAATAATCATTTTCACTTTCCTACGACTTTTCGTTTTTGAGCTTGATAGTTAAAACACACACACAGCATTTTGCGGGACTTGGTTATTTGGACTCAGGAGTTCTCAAAACGTGTATTTCCGTTGAAAACTGAGATTCGAAAATTTTCATGATTACAATACTTTTCTTTACTATATTTTTCATATATAGGTAAGTGAAAGTAAAAAGGTTGAAACTTGGTAAAGGGTCTTAACTTATTCATAAAAAGAAAGAGAATTTATATAAAATCTCAGATTACAGAAAATTTAATTTTACATACCTTGAGAAGGTATAAATTCAGCACAGATACAATCTAAATTGAAAGTGATTTCATCAAAGGGACTTTCTTCAGTACTAACAACCACAATACGTGCAATTCTATTTTTAACAACACCACTTGTAGTAAAAAAATTATTATCATCTCTGAAAAATAAAGCATGTCTGGTAACATAAATGGAGTAACAAATTTTAACAGTATTAATACAAAAAAGTGAACCTAAAAAATCAATTTTCATGAGTGATTAATTCAAATTATTTTAAAAATTAAAGTTGACAATAAAAAAAAAATAAAAAAAGCTACCAAAGTATATAAACAATTGGGTACTTGCATCTGACCTACAATATAATTCATGTGATAAAGAACGTATATAAAATTGAGATTGTGCATTTTAAATAATAAAAAAATGTTCATATTTAGCTAAAAAATTGAAATAACAGTGGGTCTGGGAGGTGTAGTGTGGACTAAGGGTGTGATGTTTACACCTGCTAAACATGATACACTCAAAATCCCTCTTAGCATAGACGCAGGCAACGGTCGAGGGGGCGATGCCCCCCCCCCCAATAATTTGAGATAAAAAAATTAAAATGAATAATAAATAAGCAACATGAATGAATACACTTTGTAAACTAAAACCGGTTAAGAAGAGTCGACTAACTGACTAGGCTAGGGCCTAGTTAGTATTAAGTATGTAACTATTTTATCGGAATCTAACTGTTACTTTTATTTAAATTGTCATTTACTTTCAAAGATAATAATATATATCAAAATATTTTAGGATTTTATGATTGATAACCCCATAATATTCACGTGATATTCTTATCATATTATCTGTGGCAAACTAGTTGGACTGTGAAAAATGTATTTTTCTTTGAGATTCTACACACTAATAAATCAAATATTTTTTTCACGTTTTACTCGACTAAATGAAGCGAAACGAGGGTTATGTCTTGGAGTCGTGCTCTAAAAGCAATGTAATGGCTGGATCGATTTTAAAATTTGATGGCTCAAATTATTCGGTGGGATCTCTTGGGTGTTTTGAAGCAATTTAAGCTAAAGATACTGGTACGATATTAAATAAAATGTGTTTATTCTATTTAAATTCTGTCAAATTACTGTGTTAAGTGTATTTAATTAATCCCCGTATGTTTGTATTAATTAATTAAAGGTGCGTATGTTTTGAGCGGATTTGACTGATTTTTAACTTTGACGGCTGTAATTATTGAATGTTTTGAAACAATTTGAGCACAAAATAATGAAAAACATTTATTATAGCTTAAGTATCTTGATTGTTGATTGATTTGAAATGACATCATGTGATTATATCGTCAGCACCATGATAAAGCAACAAATGTACAATGTTGGACAGGCTAAGATTCATTAATTTAACTTGGTGCCGACGATATGATATGAAAATAAATTGTTAACATTTAAATTATAAAAATGTTAAAGTAAAAAACATTTGAATTAAAAAAAAAATCCGATTATTATCCGATTATAGAAATCGGGAAATTCTATTCTAAAAGAATGTTCTTTCATTATTCACTTAAACATTTTGGTAGATTGATAGGAAAATTGCAATCTAATAATATTTAAACTTGAAGCAGTAGTCGGGTACCTACCATCCCCGAACAACACTCAAGACTTTCAGATATTTACTTGCATCGAAAGATAGGACAAAATGTATTTGCTTGAAGCCTTAATGTGAAGTGAAAGATACCCCACTATTAAACCAAGTTTAAATATTCGTAGATGTCAATTTCCGTATCAATCTACCAAGATGTTTAAGTACATTCTCTTAGGGTCGATGGAATTTCCTAATTTCTGTAGTTGGTTTTTTTTTTTTAATTCAAATATTTCTTTTTTACATTATTTATTTTTAGCTGAAAAAGTTCTAGAAATGTACCATTGTTATGAAGGCTGTCTCTCCTCCCCACTGTGTTTAATCCAAACAAATATGTTACAAATTCAAGTGTGTTTTTTTATAGATATTTTCAAGTATATATAATAAGTAAAACAAAAAAAAAATCTTATAATTACAACAACATAAAAACAAATTAATTTTAAACATTCAATATTATATTTGATCATTTCATAATAAGTATGTTGAATTTTATCATGTAATAAAAAGTTCTGCCATTTTTTTCGGTCCATCGCCCCACAATCAAAATCGTAAGTCTGCACCTATGCCTCTCAGATCTAATTTATAAACAACCATTTATAAAAGGTAATAATATACATTTTAAACTAAATATTTTTATTCAGATATGACAGAGTGAGAAAAAAATGAAAATATATTCCGTAGATGCAAGTGTTGAAGCTGGAAACACTATTTTAAGCTAAAAAGTATAAAATAATCAATGGTCTCCCTCATGATGGGTTTCCGTCCCCACTACTTTTCTTTAACACTAGCTATCTTCACAAATATGCATCAGAAAAATTCAGGACTTTTTGTGATTTTATTTTTAGAACCTAATCTTTACTGACCACTAAAAATTAAAAATTCATGCAAGTACCAATTTATAAACTAAATCATAATTAATAGCTAAAAGCGAAAGCAATTATAAGTGTATTAAATACAAAATTATTTTTATTAAACTTGTGGGCAACTCAACAATAAAACAATAGGTCCAGGAGTGAAACAAGATGATTTCAAAATTAAAGAATTATTTTTTCGTTAACTTTTCAGGTATAAATATGAAATGCGAGAATAGCCAATACAAAAATAAATAAAAGAAATAAATAAAAATAAATAATATAAATAGAAGAATATATAAAAATATATAGTTTATTCAAGGTATTAATTTAACAATTGTTAATATCAGTATAGATTTAATAAAAGAAAAAGATCAAAAGACAAACCTAACTTGGGGTTCCTTGAATGTAAACTGAAAAAAAGTAACAAAAACAAGATTGAATGCAACAGTATAAATTTAAAAAAGATTAAGATCAAAACACTATCTAAAATATTAATTAGTTCAGTCTCTCACAAGAGTATTTAGCTAAAGTATATACATGAAATCTAACTACAACTTTAAAAAATAGTACAAGTTTTCAACAATTAATACAATACTACTAATACAAAAAAGAAACCTGTCATTGTACTGCCAAAAAGCCAGGTTAAGCCAATATCTCATTAACAATATTTTAAAAACTAAAGTAACCTTTTTCATTTATTTTATATATTAAAATTTATTTTTTTCATTATTCCGACACTTAGCCAGGGGCGGATGTAAATGTTTCAGAGGTTCCTTGGATCCAAATAATGAATGAAGTCGAGTGCCTAAGATCATAGAATAGAGTAGAAAAGACATGATAGCCTAATACAAAGGTTTGAGTGGCATCACCCCATCTGATCTATTCCCTCTCCACCCCCTTCCCACTTGTTAGAAACTGATTAGGACACATTTGTAATGTTTTAACAATTTAATTATTAGTTTTACAAAAATTGACAATTTACTACCAAATCCTATTAAAAAAAAAGAAGAAAAAGAAAAAAAAAAAGCAGTATTATATTATAAAGACAAACCATGCATTACTGAGGATTATTGAAAAAATAAAACAGTTCACTAAAACTTTACTTAAAATTCAGATTGAATATCATAAGATGGTCTCAGTTAATACATCTTAGCAAAAATATCAATTAATGGCTAGGTATCAGTAACAGGCTAAATGCCAACCAGAAACAATTGATTTAGACAGTTTTTAGTAAGCTAAATGTCATCACCAACAGTCAAAAAGGAAGTAAAATACAACATTCACAAAAATAGACAATAATTATTAATGATTCTGTCATATAGTCCAATTTTTAGGCTGTCTTATTTAGAAAGAACACATTCAACTGATTCCGGAGTTAATGAAGAACACAAGTTTGCAGGCCCAGACAGTGTACAAGCAGAAGTTTTAAAAGAGGTCAGTGATCACTTACAAGGAAGGATGCGAACATGGAGTCACCGATTTCACTTAAACTTTTATTGTTGATGCTAGGTTATTAGACCTATGTCTGATAGTTCTTGTCAATGCCACCTAGGAGCTGAGAAATAAAATATTTTATATAATGATATAGAGATGGTTGGCCATGATATAATACCAGAAGGAGTTGGTCAGGGGGTGTGGTCAAATAAATACTATTTTTTTTTTTAAATTTCCTTCCCTCCTTTTGTTTTCTTTTTTTTTTTCCTCTCTCATATATGTAGATGTGTATATATACACATACACACACACACATATATATCTTTACAACTTTGCCTTAATCGACCTTTGAGTATTAAATTATATAACTATTTATTTGGGAATAAGGTCACTTATTTTTTTGTTTCGATCCCGGTATTTTCTTTTTATAAATCAACGAAATAAGTGACCTTATTCCCAAATAAATATATATATATATATATATATATATATATATATATCATATATATATATATATATATATCAACCTTTGAGTATTAATTATATAACTATTTATTTGGGAATAAGATCACTTATTTTTTTGTTTCGATCCCAGTATTTTCTTTTTATAAATCAACGAAATAAGTGACCTTATACCCAAATAAATATTTATATATATATATATACACTCACACATATATATATATATATATATATATATATATATATGTGTGTATGTGTGTGTATGTATGTATGTGTACTAGACCTGTTTCAACTGCCAGTCCATCAACTGCCTCCTGCAGTGCCACATGCCACAGTATTTTTGACTTTTATTATGATTCTTTCTTAACACGCCTATCCTTCAACTATACACCTTATTATAATCTTCATATAGCCTACTATTCCATTACCGCTTTCAAAAAACTGAATGTCAATTGTCATTTATATATAGTACAACTTGTTTTCATTATCATAACCTTGTTTACATTTACTTACATTCTAAATTTCTCTTCTAAACAATCTTTTCTTATACAGTTATATATATTTAATAAACATATCCTAACAATATTACAACTAATGTTATCCTATTAATCTTTCAATTTCTTCATTTGTTAATCTTTAGTCTCGTTATCTGTATACCTACATTTATCAAATGTAATCTCCACAAGCTTGTTATCCACTGATATCTTATTATTATGTTATCTTATTCTTATTTTAGCTCTACTAGATCATTACTTATTCAATTTTCAATTAC